GAAGGATTAAGGTTCAGCCTTAGCTCCCAGGGCGATGCTTGTTGCGGTTTTAGCTAGGGTTTAGGTTTCAGGGTTGAGGGTTTAGGGTTCAGGGCTTAGGGTTCAAGGTTTAGGTTTCAGGGTTGAGGGTTTAGGGTGCAGGGTTTAGGGTTCAGGGTTTAGGGTTCAGGGTTTAGGGTTCAGAGTTTAGGGTTCAGGGTTTAGGGTTAAGTAAAGTTTAGAATTTAGGGTTTAAATTAGGGTTCACCGTTCAGGGTTTAGGGCTTGTAGGGTTCAGGGTGATTACATGTTAAGTGGACCCCCCATCGGGTAATAATGTCCATACGAGATCGGAAGCCCAGGTAAATGGGGATGATACCAACAAAAGTTCGATGCGTACCGAACTGAAAAATCCAGACCCAGGCGAGACCTCGCTTGCCAGCGCCAGCGAAAACAGTAGCATCCTAGGACAATTTCGGGGCTCTGATTTAGGGTCCAAATGGGTCTAATGTTGGTGTTTCTGGGTTTTGAGTTTTGGGTTCAGGACTTAGGGTTCAGGGTTTGGGGTTCAGGGTTTAGGGTTTCGGGTTTAGGGTTTGGGGTTCAGGGTTTAGGGTTTCGGGTTTAGGGTTTAGGATTCAGGGTTTAGGGTTGCAGGCTTCGGGTTTCGGGTTTAGGGGCTTCGTGTGTAGAGCTCGGCGTTCGGCACATGTGCATGTTGCGCTGATCGTATCCCTATATGTCTCAGACTTCGACAAAAAGGGGAGACAAGACCAGCATCCCCAAATTTCAGACGCCCCTAACCCTAAACCGTAACCCCTTATACCAGGGTCTGGCACTTCAGCTTCCCGGCCTCCTACCTTGAACCAGTCCCAGAGGAAACTCCAGCACCAAATGCAGCGCCTTACCTGTCCCTGTAGCCCCCCTAGAATACACATGGGTGGTTGTCAAAATTATGGTCCCTTTTTGGGTACCCTAAATATTAGGTGCCGTATTATAATAGGGACCCAAAAAGGGACCATAATTTTGACAAGCACCCACATAATGTTTCAAATAATTGCTTAGGGTTCTACTGTAACAGAAGATCAAGACCCAAGGAGCCGACAGGTCCCTGGAAAGCAGTTTTGTTTGCTCCACCCACTGTCTAAACCCTAAACCCTAAAATCTAGCATGGAAATCTGAAGTTCGGGAGCCCTGAATGAGAAGAGATTGACACTCCGAGTGGTCAATGATGGCACTGCTGGGACTAAGTGCAGTAACAATGCCAACACAACCAGCAATTAGGGCTTAGGGTTTAAGTATTAGAGGTCATTGCAAGGGAGAATGGAAAAGCTTCCCCACCACGTGCTATCCTCAAGGAGGTTTACTGGACACCTTTCTTCGACAAAGCATCCAAAGCAGTAGGACCCTCGGACATGCACAGAAAGACTATGCCCCTCCTGCCAGAAATCAACCTAGAAAGGCCCCACAGGTCGGCCAAGCGTCCATGCCTTTCGCATGCTTGCTACCAGATAGCTTTCCCTTTCCAAAAGTATGCGATGTATGTTTGCCGTGTAGCCGACAGAGCTAGCAAGACTCAGAGAGTAAAGTAGCATATGCGACTTTCTTCCCAGACTTGTCCTGCACGTTGTGAGCCCCCAACCAACGGACTAAATGGGTGCTGCTTTCGTTTGCGTCCTACGTACCTGGCGTCGAAAGCTTGGAACCCTATGTGGAACTCCCCCGCAGCATATGGAGAGATAGCTGACGTCAGCGTAGCCTGAGGTGTCACTTGAAGCAGCTAGCTGGAACCGGAATGGCCGCAGCATCCAGATGGACTTCAGCAATCACTGGGCTAGTCCAGCGTTTGACCCACAAGCGCTGAGTGCCCAGAATGGGTTAAGAAGAACTAGAGGGTACCAGGTTCAAGGTATTGCTGACCCTTCGTGGCAGAATACTTGGGCCCTACACCCTTGACCCTAACCCTCTTTGGGGTAAAGTCCGGTAGAACAGTTTTCCCCTGATCTCTTCATGAACGACGATCAGCTGATCAGCACTATCATAATCATTTTTAGTTACATGGTCCCACGGCTCAGTCATGGCAGTAGAAGTAGAAGCATAGTAAGAAGAAACATGCTGTTTGGATCTTAGGTCAACAAACAGGTGGCCCTTCTAGCCAACCAATCCTGAGAAATGATGGCCTTTTCCTGGGTGATAACACAGATTTGGGTGGTTGTCAAAATTATGGTCCTTTTTTGAATCATAATACGACAACTGATATTTAGCGTGCCAAAAAAGGATCATAATTTTGACAACCACCCACTAGAGAACACGGGGTTTCACATGGCCTTCTGCTCAAGTTTTGCAGGGTGTCTGGTGGCTTCGTGTAATTGATCAACATGAAATCGCAGAAAGGATCCCCCCTGGTAGTTTATCTTAATCCCTATAATGAACCTTCACTTCCCTAGTAAGCAGACATCCGCCACGATACGGAATACATGAATTGGGCAAATTCCGATGCTTTCAGGGAGCCTTTTGAGCCTGAGACAAGGACCGCGGCAAGATGAGGTTTAAAGGCCTATGGTCTGGGCAAGAAGGGCATGTTAGACCGAACAGACCCGAAAGTTCTCTAACCATACCCACATCAGAGGACAAGATCAGTCAGCCCCGTCAGTTCGTGTGCTCCTCTGAGGCTCAGGGCTTTGTGGGGTGAAGGGGTTTGGGGTGCAGGATTTTGGGCCCTCCGTCCCCAAGCCTCTGAACTCTATACCTCAGCTGTTTGCCAAGGTGCCTGGGGACAAGCCAGCCTCTCCAAAGGCAAGAAGTGTACCTGGAGCCGAAACTCCGATGGACGGTATCAGTGGTACTAAATAGCTTAGGGTTTAGGGATGAGGATTTAAGGTGAAGGCTATGAGGAACCTGCAGAAGTCCTGCGCCCCTTGCAGGAACAGACCGGCTACTTGAAGAGTTGCTTGATTTTCTGGCTAAATATGAGCTACAGTCTAAACTCCTAGCATCTCCCTGAGAAACCCTATAGTAGTCCCGTATATACTCCCCTATATAACCCCCTTCTAGGAATTTAGACTATAGCTCATGTACTGCTTCTGTTTCGGCGCTGCCAGCCCACCAATAAAGGCGCGGTCATCGCCACCAAAAATCTGAAGTGTTACTTAAAACCTGCAAGGCTAGCGATCTACAGGGGCCCAAAGCAGTGTCTACATCACAGCCCATTATGCGGCGGCCGCCAACACGTGCGAAGCCTTTCAGTCCCGGCGAATTTGGAAAAAATACCCAGCCCTAGAAAAAACTAGACTTACTGGTGGTTAGTGGGGGGTATAATCCCTGCGTCATCCCTATGTAGGGTTTAGGATTCAGGGTATAACCCCTGCATAAATTATTCCCTTGCTCGATTCAAGCCTACACAGGGCCTCCGTCGCCCAGCCATGGAATCCGCCATGGCAGGTTCCGGGGCTTGCGCCATGCTTCCATGGCCTCGAAATCCGTAACGAGTGAGGGGGTTCAAGGGTTTTGCGTTTTGGGCTTCTTTGTTTAGGTAAGCTACCAATTTCCGCCACGAGGAATTTCTGTGCAAACTCAGCTGTCAGAATGGGATGGTGCTGGGAGCACATGGCTTGCCCCGAACGCACCGCTCCAAGTGCACAATACTCATGGCAAGGCGACCTTAAGAGGAAGCTGGCACTTTGCAGGAAATCACGGGGTGAAAGCCATCTTTAAAGACAACAATTGTTGCTTAGGGTTTGGGGTCTAGGGGTTAGGGTAACTTCTTCACGCAGAATCCGAAAGTGATTTTTCTATTGTTGAAGCGCATGCGGCGCCACGCAAGTCGAAAGCTGCAAATCTGGTAGGGTTTCAGTTTATGGCCCCCCAAACTGAACACCAAATACATACACCCACCAACATTCCTGAGGAGCCCTATTTACACCAAAAAGAAAATGGAACCTACAATGTAGTATATAGGGGTTATATAATACATAATATAGGGGCTCTTTAGGGATGATGGAAATAAACAGAAACTGTTATCCTAAACCCTAGACCCTGAACTTCTGATGACCCGCACTTCCTGCCAGACTGCAAAGACTCCTTGTGCCAAGTTTGTAGAACCACCAGTCAGGCACGCAGTCTATACAGAATGCTGTGTTTACTGGTGGTCAGCAGGGGTGATACAGGGACCCATATACCATACGATGACTACTTTCAGGCTTTAGGGATGGATTTCCCTCTTCTTTTGAAACCACCAGTAAGTTTGGACTGGCTCAGGCGTCTTAGACGACTTCAGCTGACAACGGCATGTAATGTTAATGGAAAGCCCAGCTAAAGTGCTGAAGCATACGAGCTACAGCAGCCTAGGACCCCAGGACTTCCTCCATCAACCAGAAAAGACATGCCATCAAAGCCATCAAAGCTTGACTTTGGAGTCAGGCTCACAGATCTCTATTACAATCTCTGGGGATGTCACGACGCTCGCCTCAGAAATAAAAGAGTTGAAGTCCGTGACGTCCTGCTCCACATAGGGCAGGTCTAACTTTTCCAGGTATGCTACTTCTGCAGTTTGAGAATTGCCAAGGCCTCCACATTTTCGGGCCTTCCTCCTGGCCTCTTGGTCGCTGAGCTGTTCCCAGGAGAGCTTGCCAGCCCCGACCCGGCCCTCAAAGTAGAAGACATGCAGAGATTGATGTTGCTCCACAGCTTTGTCGACATTTTCCTTCCAAAGATGGAACCACGTGCAGCCCCAGGGGGCCCGACCCTGGTTTTGCCGCCAAAGTTCGTCGGCCTTGCGTTTGGCTTTAGCCTTCTCTTCTTGCCACTCAAGAAAGGTGGTGTGAGGATACTTGATGATCAGATGCTGGCCCATAGCTTTTGCGTCCGCTCTCTTAAAAGCCAGCTGCTGCTTCTCGATACCAGCGGACGCGTCCAGTTCGCTCACATATGCCTCGACGGGAATAATGCCATAGAGGGCTTTGCAGTAGCACTCGCCTGGGCATTTGCAAAAAGCGCACAGCTGCCCTTCCTTTTGGACCCCCGACTCCTATTCCTTTTGATAGGGACTCCCTGAAACGGATCCCTAATTGTCGGCAACCCCTGCCTGGACTATCTGGGTTCTCCGCATGCTGTCCAAGTCCCGAGGAAGTATCCGTAAGGAACACGCAGGCAAGGGAGCAGATCTGCTCACCATCTGCAGCAGCCACGGCTCTGTCCCACTCTTCACTATAGATCCCAGGGAAAGAAACCTGAGATGACTTAACAAGCCTTGAGGAGTTTAGGGTTGAGGGTGTAGGGTTTAGGGGTAATACCATTATGGGGGTATACAAATGGGGAGTAGAACCTACTTTTGATTAAGGGGGTGGGGGAGTGCATCTAGGTACCGTCATAGGGGTAGATATGGGGGTTATATACGGATTATTTAGAAAGTAAACTTTAGGAACTTCATCCTCCACATAGCTCGGTCCCAAGAGCCTGGCTCAAGCTAAACTTTATGTCTTTGGCATGTATTGAAAATTTCTGGACTTCTGACGAACTTGTTAGCCCTTGCCTGGCTTTTTATTTGTACCCGGTCAAAAGACGATACACTTGTGAGCTGAACAATGCGTCTCTAAATTCTCTGATACTAACATGGCGGTTGAATCCTAAGTCAGGTTTTTGAGCCCGTCTTGCTTTTTGTGTGAACTCCATCACGCCAAGAGACAATGCACTTGTCAGTTGAGGGGTTGATCTTCCCGGGAAAGGCGATCCGCTTCGCTGCTAGGCCATAGCCATCCAGCGCCGCAAGTTTGGTAAATGCGTCACCTTGGGCTGCCATTGCTGTTGAGAAACTTGAACGGGTCCTTGGGAATATGAACACAAAGTTAATGACGTGATGTCCTTGATGTTCTATGGTTAATAGACTTCCATAAAAGCAACCCAGTCACTTTGCCTGCTCCATTTCTGAGGACCGATCATCCCACAAAGCACAAGGCAATAGAAGATCTGGATGCTGATATCCGAGGCAAACATGAGCTGACGAGTTCGAAACTCTATGCACAGACCAGTAGCGAAGCACATGCTCGGGTTGGACAGCGTCCATACGACAGCGGAAAAAAGAGGACCCATCATGGTGAGGAATGCGGTTATGCAAAGGAAGGTTGCCTCCCAGTGTATTTCATCCCAGCTGAAGACATGCACAGCTTTGCACACAGCCCACCACATGCCCAATGACTGCAGAGGCCCAATCAGGAACATGAGAGCAAAGAAGATTAGCAGAAGACCCACGGCCAGAATAGCCACAACAAAGTGAGGTTGAGCTTCAAATCCTTTCACTACTTCGGTGATCACCACACTGCTCAGACCTGCGAAAATGGAAATTCCCAGAAGCAAGCTGGCCCAAGATGCGAGACGAGTCCAGCCCAGGCACTGCAATTTCAAATTCGCTGTCCCAATCTGCAGAATATTTGACAAAGCTACGCCGGAAAGAAAGGTGTAGAACTGAGCAGAACTCCAGACAGCCCCAGACTCATGACCTATTCAGGGGGCTCAAAAGGTGGGATGAAGGTAGGTGGGTTAAAGGGTCCTTAGTATATACTCTATCATATTGGGGCTTATCGGATACTTCATCCCACCTTTTGAGCCTTCTGACCTATGAGGCCAGTAACACTTTCATCGGCCACCACACTCGTCACCTTGCCAGTTCTACGGTACTATGGTACCCAATATTACCCCAATGATGGAGAATCAAACGGAAAAGAAAATGGAAAATGAAATGGAAGCTGGGATTATATAGGGTATTATATGGATTAAAGAGTTTCCCAAAATTAGGGGTACTTTTTGGGGGATCCCTATAGTAAGGACTATGGTATATTAGGGTCTATATTAGGGTCCCCTTGACTAGGGTTTAGGGCCTACCTGGTTTAGGATCTAGGGGTTTGCGCTTTATAAGTGTAGGAGTTTGTACTTCATACTTTGCGTCGAAAAGTCTACTACATCACACATAACCCACTCCTTCATTCCCTCTTAACCACCCACAAGTGAAAAAGGCCAGTGAGCAGCATGAAATGCCATACCCGAGAGGAGGATATTATCTCGCTCGATTTCGGGGGCTATAGTACCTCCGTAAGAATACTACGTAGCCAGGATCCTCGTTTCCATTTGATGCTCTGTTGGGTTTTCCGTTTGAGTCTGTAGACTTCCGTATAACCGCCTTGGCCCCCTGAATGGTTCAAGTCGCATAGAGCAACAGGATGGTCCGGTAGCTCCACACATGGAGCCGTGACCATGCAGAAAATCGGTCAGCCCTGAGAAGCAGGATCAACACCCCGAGCCCCGTCGTCAGAGGTCCGACCACACATTGTACAAAGAACGTGTAGTCGATGATGTACTTCCCGTCTTGAACTGGGTTTTCCCACATACTTGTCAGGGTAACATGGCGGGCAAGACGAACATCGTTGCAATCCAGTCTAACTCCTGCAAAACGCGTGCAGCCGCTGTCTGCACAAATGGGCTTATGAGTGCATGCCCAAAACTCCACCGCCCATCCAAAAAAGACATTCGCCACGATTCGAAGCAACGTGATCACAATTAGCATCGGCAGTTTGGGGCACTGCCATCGAGGTTTGCCAGCGGAAGGACCTTTAGGCGCATCATCCATGGCATTCAATCGAGTAGGTAACCCACAGAATAGGACCCTCATCCACTGGCCCCAGAGAGGAACTGCCCTCAGAAAGTTAGATGAACTCTTCGATCAGTGCTACCACTGATCTCAGGCTACTGTTCATACTAAAAACCTGAATGACCTTACTACACTACTGCACCGTAGCACAATAATTTCCACGGTGTAAGGTACTTAGGGTCATGCAGGATGTTTAGTATCCACCGTAGCTCCAACTTAGACGGTCTTGGCAGCTTTGTGGAGCGCTGTTGCCTTGGAGGTCAGCCCAGAGCAACCTTCTAAACGCCGTATGACATGTAATAATAAGAGTCATAATAATATTAGAGTCATAATAATAATAATAGTCATAATGATAGCGATAATTTTTACATTAAGTGTAGCAACTCATAATAGGCCGAACAATTAGAATTGCTGACCCCCATATACAGAAAATGGTGGTTACATGCTCTGCTCCAATCATTTAAGCCTGTAGACCCCTAAGCCCAAAACCTAAACCATATTCCGACAGACCACTCAGGTCACTAGAATGTAGTCCCCTTTAGTAGATAGAATATGGGGTATCTTATTATAATATACCCAAAGCCATATTCTATCTGTTTAAGGGGGGCGATATACCCTAAACCCTAAATAGTAGTTTCCATGTTCTTTTCCATTATCCCTATAGAACCCCTATACAACCCAAATATTATATAACCCTAAACCCTGATATCCTTGCAGGGCCTCCATGCTCTTGACACTCACGCATCAAAGTCCCAAAGGTTGAAATCCGATCGGGAAAGCCAAGGGTTTTTCCCCAAAAGGAGGCTGCATGGAGGACCCTGGGGCTAAAACTGTTTCCAGAAATTGCGCTTTTTTTTTCCCCGGTGAGGTTCGTCATGATCATGGTGTTGAACTTTGGGTTGTCTGAGGGGGGCTTTACATCCATATGAGCCATAATCTGAACTCCCTGTACGCACCTTAATACGTATGGTGCTCCCCAATGTAATCCGGTATAGAACCCACCTTTAAGGAGTTTATATAACCCCCCTTTAAGGAGTTTAGACTATAGCTCATATGGGCATGTGAAAGACATGAAGCGCCTCCTCCAGAGCAATTTGGAAGGACCGTTCTGAGAAATTCCTAAAGGAACTGCCTCAGGAAGATTTGGACTGGGATTGAAATTTGTGATAATTATTCTGGGCCCCCTGTTCCATTTGGGGAGTGCCAAAAAAACCTTTGCTGGTCGTAAGAGAAAATTTCAGGAACGGTTTTTGATGAGGCCAGAGACCAGAATGCTCCTGGTTTTACCTACCAGGCCTTTAAATATGGTAGTTTCCCAGAATAGGGGGACCCCATCATAGACCCCAAAGTACTATAATCCTTACTATAGGGACCCCTTAAAAAGGTACCCCTATTTTTGGGAAACCCCTACATGAAGGTGGAGCTCTATTGCCTTGGAACCTGGACTCTTATGCCACCAACAACAATCGAGTTGTTGTCACACTGCCTTTTCGAACAGGCTAGGCAATCAAGTTCCAAAGGGGGCCGCCCCTGATCACCAACTTAGAAGATTTGGGGAAGGGGGAGAGGCAACGGTTTTTGGGCAGGCTTACTCGCGAGGCCGTTTTAAACCATTTCTAAATGTTTCTCACTGATGTCTACTTGACTTTCATTGAACCTGAGTTCTTGTTGATCTGATTTTAAAGAGGCTGATGGATTGTTTGCTCAAATATCATTAGGTTTTAACTGTTTTTCAACAGGCTTTCGATGAGTTAATGAGGTTGTAATTGATAGTAAGAGGTTGTACATCCCAGGCCCTTCCTATTCTCTTCAAAGCTAAACTGAGCCATTCCTTAGGACTTGAATAGAAACCGAAGCCGAAGGATCTCCCTTTCCTTGTTGGATTTAATAGGAGGCATAGGGTCCCTCAGACCCAGTGCTTTTTGTGGACTTTTTATTGAAAAAACCTTTTTGTTTGAGGGGGGTGGGTTCGCACTAATCAGGATGGGACATTACATGATGCATTGAAGACAGGCTTCACATCTCTCAGCATGCAAGATGGACTGAGAGCCACCCACAACCTGTACTCCTCTGTCCCGTGAGCCCCTAACCCAAACCCTCACGCCCCCCACCAAACCCGAAACCTTGAACCCCCCTAAATGTAATTCTTCGGCTGACTTGAATGCAACAGCCTGCAGATTCCCCATGAGCCTTTGACTACCACAATGTCATTGTGCCTACTGTTAGCATGTTTAGTATTCAAGAAGCTTAGCCTTTCATGCTTCAGACTTGCTCAGGATGAATTCCTGTCAGACCTGCCCGCTGCCAGTCTTTCCGAGGCCGTCACGCTCGGTGGGGTCGCTCTTGCCGGGCCGAGCAGGTGGATGAGAGCACTGGCGAGGGGGCAGCGATGATCCTGGCAGAGAAGGACTTGAATGCTTTCTGTTGCCTCTCGGTTTTTCTACGAATCCATTACGAACCCACACAAACCCCAGACCTGGACCAAGGATGGGTCACAAAGGTGTTTTAGCTCTCCCGTGCCTTCATTCAGGAGAGCTTCCCATCTTTGAGGGTAGCGCCGCGGCCGTCTGCTACTTCATTGCCAGGACGGCGACCTCCTCCTTCAAACTTACTGGCGCTTGATAGGGGATGAAGAAATGTAGGTTCTCGGGGTTGTTGTTGGGATTTCATAGGAACTACTGAGAACCATTCCTGCTACCAGCACGCAGTCAAGAAAGTGCATCCGTACAATAACAGGTCCGATTCTGCTGAGGCTAGACGAAGGCAAGCAACGCACATTATTTAACTGCATTGAGCCCTCATTAAGTCGGCTTGATGCATGCAGGAGATTCTCAGATACAGTTCACATGCTGCTACTTCTTGCTCCCAACCTGCATCACTTCAGGTTGAGACGCGCCTCTGGGACGGTCAGGAAAGTTGGGCGTACGTGGATGGCTGAAAACTGATCAAGGTTAGCCACGCAATAGTTATAGACCATCATTGAACTAGAGTTTAATATGCCCCCAAACCATATCTTACTGGGGGTTAGTAGGGAATGGGGGAATATAATCCCGACATTATCCCTACATAAAGTATTCCATCATTCCCTACCGACCCAATAAGCTTTTCTCATTGAATAAGCCCCTACAGCAGGCTGCAGGCTCAGGTTTGAAGCACGAAGCAGGCGTTGAACAAATTCTTCCTACTAAACAATGTGCACTACCTCATGTCAGGGGTCACAGCCCAAGCGACCTTGACTCTGAATGTCTGAAACCCTGAAACAAATCTAGCCTAATTAGGGGTTTAGGTTTGAGGATTAGGGTTTAGAGCTGAGAGATAAGGAATAAGTAACACAGTGCGCGGGCTAGCATGGCAAACCAATAGTGAGGGATGGGCTCTTCTGCTGCAAGACACGAGAAGCCCTTGACAACTCTGAACCCTAAGCCCTATACATCCGTATACACCCTACACAATCCCTAGAATCCTTTTCTTGTTTTGGGTTTGGGGTTTTCACGCCCCAAATCCCAAAGCCCTTCCTAGTTGAAGAAACTGTACCAGCCACTGCTGCCCAGCACGGACGTCGATAGAACGACCTTGA